TTTGTGTGGATGGTGAGGCCAAGTAAAGAGCTTTTAAAGAGGAGAAAGACCGGGCATATTCATATTTGTCAGGGAAGGAACCAACAGAAAAATTAAGCTGCAAGGTGTGAAAAGGAGAGGATGATTGAGGCAGCTTTCTTGAAGAGAAGGGAGAGTATGAAGGACACAGGTAAAGAAGTCGGCATTGGCATTGACAGGAGAAAGGGTCTCCTGGAGGAAAGAAGGAAGGTGATGTTGAGGAAATCAACTGATAAGGGACTGATAGTAGTTTGCCTCATTTTCCCCCTCATTAATGTAATAAGGTTCTCAAAGTAGGAAATTGAGGCTGCCTTGCCTTTTTCATCTGTATAGCCAAGATCTCCTGTACTTTAGAGGTGCTTATACCTCCACCCTTATTCTCCCCAATACTCTTAATACGTATGTGTGGTTACATATCTATGTATGTATAACCATAACTTATATTTCAAGAATTCAGCAAGTAGGCAGGTAATGCTTACTTCAAAGCCTTGGATCAGTGGGGAATACAGAGACACAGAAGAAACAGCCCCTGTTCTCCAGGAAGGAGAAAATGCTTGGGGCCTGGGCAGTGGGGGCAGTGTTTGAAGTGGCTCTTAAGCTGAGTTTCTAAGGAAGATAAGGATGAGGATTCTGAGAGGGGCAGATGAGGAAGGTGCACATTCCAGACTGGAAGGATGGAATGCTCCTCTGCACTAAAGGGCGGGTATGCCGACTTAATTTTTGGTAACAGTTAGTCTACTTTGAATAGAAGATGGAGTAACACATGGAGACAACGTAAAGTAAGGGTGGAAGGAAGCCAGGTTGTGTAGGGGCCGTAAAAGCCAAACTGAAGAGTTTCATGCTGCAGTCACTAGGGAATGACCACTGAGGATCTTTGAGCCAGACAGTGACGTGGCTGGACCTGAGCCAGAGAAGCCTTTTAAATGTTACTAACACTTCATATTGTATACACATTCAACTATAATTGCTGCATATTGATATTTTATACCTCTGTTTAAAATGACATTTTTGTTAGAGATTTTAGCTGTAAATGGATAAAGACTTGTCAAAATACCTTTTATACAAAATTTCTCCTTAAATTTCTCTGTGTCCTCATTAGCAGAATGGTTAGTGACTAGGACATGGGGAAAACCTTGTTACTGCAAGCTATATATTATCATGATGTTCATTGTACCTATAGTAGTAGTCTAGGTGATAAGAAATGAACTTTCCATTCACATTGATGAGCTATTTCTCAAAATTCATACTAATGTAAAATTATAGTTTTCTGTATTAGCTAATCTGGCACAATGGAAAGAGAACTGATTTTGGAGTTCGAAGGCTTGAGTCCTCTGACCTGGGGTCTAACCCTTGCTCTACTGGGTCAGCTTAGTCAAATCACATAATCTTTCATTTCCTCATCTGCAAATTAAGGAGGTTAGCTAGGATGATCTCAAAAGTCCATCCCAGCTGTAAATTAGATCTGTCATGCTGGTGTTGGTACAAATCACTTGAAATGAAGGAAAGAAAGAAAGATAGAGAGAAAAAAAGATGCTTAATAACCTAAGTCAGAGGTGTCAGACATGGAGCCCTCAACATTTGCAAGTGCTTTGGAACCAGATTAAAATGTAATTGAGAGATATTTACAAAATAAACAAAATTCAATAAAACATAGATAATATGAACATTGTAAAGACCCTCAGGGATCCTTATGCTACTTGCTTTTCTTTTTTTTTCCTTTTGGTGAGGTAATTGGGGTTAAGTGACTTGTCCAGGGTCACATAGCTAGTAAGTGTCAAGTATCTGAGGCTGGATTTGAACTCAGGTCTTCCTGACTCCAAAACTGGTGCTCTATTCACTACACTATCTAGCTGCCCCAACCTCAGGGATCCTTATGTATGGATTAGTGGCCCTGGTTCTATTAGCCTTCGACACCACTGACCTGAATTGATGGTTATGTTAGGGCTTTTCTTCAAGAAGTAAAATTCTTTGGCCTTATTTGGAGGATCAGGATAGTTATAGACATATAATGGGTCTATGAATGGAAATGGATTAATGATATCAGTCATTATACTCCTGGTATGACACAGGAACGCTTTCATGTACCTTACTTATTTTGATTGGTTCCTATACAAAATTATGAAGTAATGGTTTGGGTATTGGTAAGATATTAAATATGTGTACAGGTTTATTATATTCATTGGCTTATTGATATACAGCTGAAAGGTCAAAACCAATTGGATCTAGAACATATCTGTGACAGTTTTTCAAAGTGTTTTCACTTCTGTTTTATTTCATCTTTACAACAGCTATGTGGGGTAAGTGACTATTTTCGAAAGATAAAAGTGTGAAAGTGACCTGTTCATGGTGCCTAACTCATTTGTGGTTATGGCAGAATTAAGGATTTGGTCTTCTAACTCTAGTCCAGGACTCTTTAACCTTCATTAGGATGCCTAAAGGAGATTGATAAACTAGAGGATTACACTTTTTGTCAAACTATCGGAAATATTGAGGGCTTGAGATTGAGTTTGCAGACTGGAATTTTCTCTGCGCTACAAATAGAAGAGTGAAGACTGTCTTGGCAGTGAGGCCAAGGGGTATCCTTTGTCACCCTGGTGGCCTTACTGTTGGGTGTTCAACAGAAACCAGTACTTAGAAGCTGAACCAGGAGGAACCTTAGTGATCATTCGTTCCATCTCGCTCATTTTATGGGGAAAGTTGCCTGGTTAGCTGCAGAGATGGGACATGGCCTAGGTCCCCCACTCCCCTTCCTAACACTGCTTCTTCTTAGGTCCATTCTTGATTAGAAATGAGAAAATAGCCATGCCTCACTAATATCACAAGGAGAGTGTAGCAGAGGCATGGCTAGTATTAGAATGTATATATTTGTTTGGGGCATGTGTATTTTTATGCTTACATTTAAATAGATCTACTTGATGTCCTAGAAATTCCCATCACACTACATCTTGAAGTCAATGACTTGGGGGTAAGAAAGCTGCCCAAGGTTCCCCATGTCATCCTCTTCATCAAACTCCTTCCTGTGTCTCACTCCAGTCCAGGAATAAATAGTCAGTATCACTGTGACTTACCTTCTTGCCAAACCCTCTATGGAACAACCTGAAGGAACAGGGAGTCTAAAAGGTGGGGATGAGGAGGGAGTGCATTCCAGGAAAAGGGGAGTGCCTTGGGTCAGTCAACAAGCATTTATTAAACCCATTCTATAAGTATGTTAGGTACTGTGTGGGGTTCTGGGGAAATAACAATCCCTTCTCTCAAGGAGCTTGCATTCAATTGTGGAGACATGTCTGTGTATAAGTATATATCGAATAAATATCAAAGAAATCCAAGTTGGGGGGAGGGAGGGAGGGAGGCATTAGCAGCCAGGATGAAGAAAAGTTTCCTGTAGATGATTCTGGAGCTGCATCCTTAAGAGAAAGAGGGATTCTTTTCAAGAGTTATCATTGAGGAGATAGTCTATTTCATCATGCCAGACTGCCATTGCAAAGGCCAGAGGTGAATGCCATGTTCAGAGACCTGTACAGCTGGGCTGGACCTTAGGATGCAGGAAGGGGAATAATGTATAATAATTCTGGAAAGGTAAGTTTAGACTGTGTGGTGAAGAGATTTAAATTCCAAGGAATTTATATTTGATCCTAGAGGTGAGAGGAGCACTTGAATTTATTGAGTAGGGTAGTAACATTATCAGAACTGTGCTTTGGGAAAATCACTTTGGGAGTTCTGTGAAGAGTGGGTTGGAGTCTGGAGAGCCTTGAGGCTTCGAGACTGTTAGGAGACTATTGTAATAGTCCTGGTGTGGAGTGGTGAAGGCCTTGATCTAGGGTAGTGGCTATTTGAGTGGAGAGGAAGGGTCAGAGGCAAGAGGTGATTCTGTGCTAGAAAACTTGAGTGAATACTTGTCTCCAGAAGAAAATTCTTAGCCTGGCATTCAAGATCGAATAAAAACTGGCCCCAGTTTACCCTTATGACTGGTCTTAGGACCCTCTGTTCCTTAACATGAACTTTCTGCTTTAGTCAAGCTGATAGACTCACTGTCCCTACCCTGCCTATCCAGCCCCTCCTTCTTCGGAGATAATTTGCCTTCTACCTCTTCTGTAAAGTCTTCTGCTCTCTTAACTGACATTCATCTCCTGAGAACATCGATGGGGCGATGGGACAGCTTTGCTTATGTTGTTGTTTGATACTTAAAAACTGCTTTGTATCCTCAGTTATCTCAACTGTGTATAGGTGTCTAATTTAAGCAGATAGCTTTTTTTTTTTGTTTTGTTTTGTTTTTAGGCAATTGGGGTTAAGTGATTTGCCCAGGGTCACACAGCTAGTAAGTTTCAAGTGTCTGAGGCTGGATTTGAACTCAGGTCCCCTTGACTCCAGGGCCGGTGCTGTATCCACTGCACCACCTAGCTGCCCCAGCAGATAGCTTCTTGAGACAAGAACTAAGTTATATACTGCTTTCTGTTTTCCCTTACTTTCTCCCTACTAGCCTTATACATAATAAGTGCTCAGTAAATATTTGTTTGTTGATTGACTCTATTCAAAAGGCTTTTCTATACAAAAGAAATAGAAAATGAGAAATCAGAAAAACTAAAGGGATTGGTTGCCAGAAATAGTACAGGGTGCCCCCTAATACTTTCCATTCTGGCTCGTATTGCTCTATATGTAGAGCTAGCTGGGCAATAGCCCAATACACTAGTTAGATCAGATAGTAATATGCAAAAAATCTAAAAGAAAATTTGTGTCCGTACAACTTTTCTACATCAATAAAGGTCAACAAGGGCGAAGAGAATGGTAAACTGCAGATAGTTTTTTTTTTTTCCCATGGCTTCAAATTTGGGTGTAATTAATTGGAATTTTGTTAAAATATATTGGAGATGTGATTTTTCTATACTGTTAAAGCATCTTAGCAGTGTTGTACTTTAATTTTTTATCAATCCTGGGTTGGCTGGCAATATTCCTTGAAGTGGACTGGAACATCTCTTTGGACGCGTGTGAAATGACGACGAAGTTTATCCATTCTCTGAGATCACTGTACACTGACCTTCTTATAGTGCTGGGTTCCTGTTTCAGGAACTCTGTGCCATATAGTCTCCAAATGCCCAGCGGTCTTGCAGTGTTCTACTGTAGACAGTTGGTGGCATTTATGAAGGAGTGTATGGTGTCAGCAGAGATGGAGGTTTCCTCTTGCAAAGATGAATGATGGGAGTCTGATCACATACTACTGCCTTCAAGCCCAATACACTTTTATACTAGTGAACTTACAATTCAGCTACGAGTTTTCTGAGACATATTACTAGTTTGACATAAGAATTAGAAACCTGTTTAGTCCTCAGTGCCATCAGCAATATGTAATAATGAGGCTCTAGTTGCCACTGGGTGGCACAAAATATAGCTGAAGAAAGAAGTTCATAAGATCATAATTGGAGCTGGGACGTTGGAGACCACGAGGTCCAACACCTTTATTTTATAGATGAGAATCCTTAAGCCTCGGAATCTCCCCAAGGCTATACAGGTAGTAAGCATTAGAGATAGGCCTTGAACCCAGCTTCTCTGACTCCAGATTCAGTAAGAAAGATGGAGAGAAATTAAAATAATGAGAATAAATCATAGTAGTACAATATAACTGATGGTTACTGCCTGTTATCACTAATGCCAGTAGTTGCTTATCCCTGTCCCCATTGCATAGTAGTAAACAAACTTATTTTGAATTTTTTATAATAACAGAAAACATAAGTAAACACACAGTACACATTGTTTTACATGGCTTATTGCTGTTAGCATACTGCTGTAGTTAAGAGAACATTTGGTTTTGCCTAGGTCCACTGCAAATTTATGTCACATAACCTCAACTGGGCCCTCACTCCTGCTAGGCAATCTTACTATACCTTCCTTATCAACTCACTATCCTACTTTTCGGAGCAACTCTTCCAAACCTTTTTATTCCTCCTTAAATCTCCCATGGCTTTTCCCTCACCCCCAAACTCTCTCAGCTGAGAACTTTGCCTCATTTTTACAGAAAAAATTGAGACCATTCTCTGTGAACTCCCTCTTCCTCATTTCCTGTCATCTGGTGCCATTTCCTATCTGCTGTCTTTCGCCACTGTCTTCTCCTTCACTTCTGTCTCATGTGATGAAGTGGCCTTACCCCTTATCAAGGCTAACCCTTCTATTTGTCCATGCTATGCCATTCCATCTATTCCATCTCCTCTGTCATCCTCGTTCTTTCACTTATTTTCAGTCTCTCCCTCTTTGTTATCCTGTATCTCTTCTGTTCTTTGTGGCTAAACTAGAAAAGGTCACCTACAATAAGTACCTCTACTTTCTCTCCTCTCATTTTCTTCTTAACCCCTTACATTCTGGCTTCTGACCTTATCATTCCACTGAAATTGCTCTCTCCTGAGTTACTAATGATCTCTGACTTGACAAATCCAATCGTCTTTTCTCAGATCTCATTCTCCTTGACCTCTCTGCAACCTTTTTTTCTTTTTTTTAATTAATTTATTTTGAAATATCAACAATCGCTTTCATAAGCTTTTGAGTTTTAAATTTTTCTCCCCCTTCCTCCCTCCCCAAGATGGCGTGTGGTCTGATATAGGCTCTACATGTACATTCCTATTAAACATATTTTCACATTAGTGATATTGTAAGTAAGAATTAGAACCAATAGGAGGAACCACCACAAAGAGGAAACAAAACACAACAGAAGAAAAAAAAATAGCAAATACTATACTTCGATCTGCATTCAAACTCCATAGTTCTTTCTTCTTTGTGGATAGCATTTTCCATCACAAGTCCTTTGGAGATGTCTTAGATCCTTGTATTGCTGAGAAGGGTTAAGTTTATCAATATTAGTCATCGTACAACGTGGCTGTTTTTGTGTACAATGTTCTGGTTCTGCTTGCTTCACTCAGCATCAGACCATACAAGTCTTTCCAGGTTTTTCTGAAGTCAGCCTATTCATCATTTCTTATAGCACAATAGTATTCCATCACATTCATATACCACAACTTGCTCAGCCATTCCCCACTTGATGGGCATCCTCTCAATTTCCAATTCTTTGACACCACAAAAAGAGTTGCTATAAATATTTTTGTACATGTGGGTTCTTTTCCCATTTGTATGATCTCTCTGGGATATAGCCCTGGAAGTGCTATTGCTGGGTCAAAGGGTATCCACATTTTTATAACCCGTTGGGCATAGTTCCAAATTGCTCTCCAAAATGGTTGGATCATTTCATAACTCCATCACCAATGCATTAGTGTTTCAATTTTCACGCATCTTCTCCTATATTTATCATTTTCCTGTTTTGTCATGTTGGCCAATCTGATAGATGTGATGTGGTATCTCAGAGTTGTTTTGATTTGCATTTCTCTAATCAGTAATGATTTAGAGCATTTTTTCATATGACTATAGATGGCTTTAATTTCTTCATCTGAGAACTGCCGGTTCATATCCTTTGACCATTTATCAATTGGGGAATGACTTATATTATTATAAATTTGACTTAATTCTCTATATATTTTAGAAATGAGGCCCTTATCAGAGAGACTGGTTGTAGAAATTCTTTCCCAATTTTCTGCTTTCCTTCTGATCTTAGTTGCATTGGCTTTGTGCAAAAACTTTTCAATTTAATGTAATCAAAGTTATCCATTTTGCTTTTTGTAATGTTCTCTGTTTCCTGTTTGGTCATGAATTCTTCTGTTCTCCATAGATCTGATAGGTAAACTATTCCTTGCTCTCCCAGTTTGCTTACGGTATCAGCCTTTATATCTAAATCATGAACCCATTTTGACTTTATTTTGGTATATGGTGTGAGTTTTGATCTATGCCAATTTCTGCCATACTGTTTTCCAGTTTTCCCAGCAGTTTTTGTCAAAGAGTGGGTTCTTATCCCAGAGGCTGGGGTCTTTGGGTTTTTTGCAACCTTTGACACTCTTCTCTTTTGATTCTGTTTATCATTCTAGGTTTTCAAAACACCACTTTCTCCTTGTTTACTTTCTACCTTTTGACTGTTCTTTTTCTGTCTTCTTTGCGGGATCCTCCTCCTCCGGATCAGGTCCTCTAACCATAGGTGAGGGGCAGCTAGGTGGTGCAGTGGATAGAGTGCCAGGCCTGGAGTCAAGAAGACCAGAGTTCAGATCCAGCCTCAGGTATTTACTAGCTGTGTGACCTTGGGCAAGTCACTTAACCCTGTTTGCCTCAATTTCCTCATCTATTAAATGAACTGGAGAAGGAAATGGCAAACCTCTCCCATATTCTGCCAAGAAAACCTCAAATGGGCTCAGAAGAGTCAGGCACAACTGAAACAACTAAGCAACAACAAAAAAATAAAAAAATAGGTGTCCCTCGGGGTTCTGTCCTGAGTCCTCTTCTCCCTCTATACTACTGCTTCACTTGGTGATCTCATTAGCTGCCATGGATTTAATTGCTACCTCTATACTGATGATTTTCAAGTCTGCCTTCCCTGCTCCAATCTCTCTGTGACCTCTAGTCTGGCAACTTCAGCTGCCTTTTAGACATCTCAAACTGGATGACATCTCAAACAGCAGATATCTTATACTAAATATGTCTAGAACAGAACTTACTATCTTTCCTCCTATACCCTCCCCCCTCCTGTCTTTCCTATTACTGTAGAGGGCAACAGTCTCCTCCTAGGCCCTCAGACTCTCAACCTAGGAGTCATCCTGGATTCTTCACTGTCACCCCTCATATCCAAGTTGCTGCTAAATCCACCAATTTCCCCTTTGCAACATCTCTTGAATATGCCTCCTCCTCTCCTCTGATACTGACATCTCTCTGGTGTAGGCCCTCATCACCTCCCACCTAGATTATTCCAAAACCCTGCTGGTAGTCTGTGCCTGCCTCAAGTCTCTCCCCATTCCAATCCATCCTCCATTCAGCCACTGAAGTGATTTTCCTGAAGTGCAGATCTGATCATGTTACCTCCCCCACTCAGTGAACTCTGGTGGTGCTTCCTGTTTCCTCCAGGAGCAAATACAAAATGTTCTGTTTGGCATTCAAAGCTCTTCACCACCTAACTCCCTTCTACCTTTCCTATCTTCTTACACTTCACTCCTCAACATGTACTCTTTCATCCAGTGACACTGGCCTCCTGGCTGTTCCATGGATAAGACATTCCATCCCCATGCTATTCCCTATGCCTGGAATGGCTCCCTTCTCTGCTCTGACTACTGACCCACCTGGCTTCTTTCAAGCCCTAACTAAAATCTACCTTTCCACAGGAAGCCTTCCCCAACCCCTCTTAATTCCAGTGCCTTCCCTTTGTTAATTATTTCCTATTTATCTCATATATAATTTTCTTTCTCTCTAAAAGAGAAAAGATAGCTCTTGCCCTATTTTTTTGCATATCTCCTCCATTAGATTATAAGTTCCTTAAGGGCAAGAGCTATCTTTTACCTCTTTTTGTACCCCCACCTCTTAACACAGTGCCACATAGTAGACACTCAATAAATGTTTATTGATAGATTGGTTTCAGGGAGCCTGGGTTGAATGCTTCCCCATCTTCTTAACTGTGTGATAATGGCAGGAAAATCACTTCCCCCTAGGGCCTCAGTATTGCAAACCTGTACAGTGAAGAAATTGAAATAGATAACTGCAAAGATCCCTTTCAGCTCTAAAACTCACTGAATTGCTGAATTATACGTTACTGATAAAAACAAGTATATACTAAAGAGTATAGAATTGGAAAGCAAGCTGTCCTAGGTTTAATTGTGTTCATCAGATTTGTAGATGCTTCTCCGTTCTGCTTGAATGCTGATACTCTGGAACATAGGAATAATATTTTAACTTGAAAAGTTGGGGAAGATAGGTATACCAAAACTTGATGGAATTTCATAGGAACCAAGTACAACATATTAGGAACAAAAAAGCAAACGCGGATATGGAATTGATAGAAGTAGAACAAAAAAAAATCTGAGAGCCACAGAATAAAATCTAATTTTGAGTCAACTCTAGTATTTGTAAGTGTTGTTTATTATTTAAATCCACCTTGATAATAGCTTTTTGAACTATATTAGAAGTAATACAAAGCAATGTGAGGCTATGCCAAGTTTGGAATCAGGAAGACATGGGTTCATATTCCACTTCGGATGCTTATATACTTGTTGAATATCATAAGATTATAGTTTTTCAGCTGAAAGGGCCTTTAGAGGTCATATCTGGTTCAATTCTCATTTTATTGATGAAATCTAGAGA